ATTGACATTTCCATTTAAAATGCTAGGAAAGCTGTATAAATTGTAAACATGGAAACCAAACACTTGCATAAATTATTTCAAAAACTCTACAGCACATTAGAAAACAGGGCAGCTAACTGGAGGGTAGAAACATAACCGACAAAGAGAAGGGAAGATTCACTTCCGAAATCATATACCCATACTGAACTTCAAGTGCCTGTTTGAGACCAGCAAACCATTGATTGTCAAGTTCAAGTTGCAGCACTGAGGCCAGTATCGAGCAGCCTCAATATACTCTGCATATTTTCGTACACTAACACTCATCACCTAGGCGTGAGATGCAAGAATATGGATCTTGACAAAGTGGGCGCCTCCCAGAGCAGCCCCTTTCCTGCAAGGGCAATGCTACCCTGGTCTCCATCTCTGGCCGGAGTAGGGCCAAGTTGAGAAGAGGAAATCTCTAGAATTTCCTCTTTTCTGAAAAGAGCCCTCGGGTGCTTGGAGCAACTGGGTTGATGGGTGGAGCCTCTGTTTCCCCACAGCTGCAGGAGGAACACTACAGGGTGTCTGGCTTGACCCTGACTGGGTCCTATTCCTAACTTACACTTGGGGAGGTCAGTAACGGGGCCTCGAAAGCTGGTGGGTGTGAGGAGACAAACCAAATCTCCAAGGCGCCTGGAAAGCCTCAAAGCGACCGAGTTCCAGATCATTTACAATTCTCATCTCTGCCCCACCTACCTTTGCACTCTTTAAATGTGAAATGGCCCCAGAGCAGAAAAACCTGGAGAAAAGCAAGGGGTCCGCAGAATCACCCACTCTGTGGGAAACTGGCACGGACAGACACACTGTCCTCATGCCACTTGCTCGCTGGTCCTAACTCTGTTTCATGTTTAGTAGGCATTTCGCGTTCTTTTCCTGAATTTCAATGCTCCTGCATGTTTTAAAGAGAAAACATCAAGTGTACTCTACACACACAAGCATGGAGTTAGGATCGTACCGTAAGTTTCAGTTTTCAAGTCTCCGTGGAGACTTGGAGAAAAGAGTCCCTGTTTAAACAATGAAAATTCACCTCCACGAGTTTTTTTTTAACTTGCAATGTGCACACGCCTTGTCCATTTTATGAGGCTATTACAGCCGTTGCTTATAGAAACCCCTCTCACCTGTTTGGAGATCACCTGCTCGCATACTGGATTAAACATAAAAACAAAGCTCAGGTTGCCATCCCATAAAAAGCATGTTGTGTTCAAATGCTCAACCTGCAGGTAGGGGGGTGGACTCCTTCACGCTCTTGCCAGGGACAGATGTGGCTAGGCAGGCGCTGGAGGCTGGCTTTGGAGACTTACTGTGGAGGCTGAAGCCCATGGGGAGCTCAAGTGTGGGAGTTAAGGCCAGAGCTTGTGCTTCGCTCCTGCCCAGAACCATAACTGACAAATTCATCGTGTCTGAGAATATAGTATGAAAAGGAGAGGCTTGTTTCATGGTGAGCTTGTGAGTTACTGCGAATGCGGTGGTCCGAGTGGTGGATCCGCCCACGGGACTCGTAGAAGCTGCCAGAGCGGTGAACGCCGCCCCTGTGCAGGGCCACAGCGCACGCACTCACTCGTGTCCTCCCAAGCCCAGGCAGGGTGCATCCGGCTCTGTGTCACCGCACCGTGCCCTGGAAAACCTGGTCTCAAAAGCCACGCGCCACCCAAATGAAAACACATTCTTACATTAAGTGAAATGTGGCGAAACAGGGGTAGATAGCCATGGAGAAGTTGAATGTCTTTATTTATAACCCACTATGCCCCACAAACGACGTAATGACTGATTGTTGAAATCTGCGCTAAGCCACAAACCCAGATGGAACTTGCATCGTTTTCCTGTTTTTCAGGGTCTTCAGCAGTTCTTGTTCTCCCCCCACCCCCACCCCCACCTCTCCTGGCTGCCTCTCTTCACAGACCTTCACAGACCTAGTATTTTCTCACTGTATTTACTGCAAAAGCAACGTCACTACACCATGTTCTCCTCTAAAACTCCCGATAAAGTGGACTTCGGGGTTTTGTCCCCTATACAGCAGAATCAAGGTCAGGTCCATTTCCAGGGCCGCTTTCACTCACTGTCATTCTACATCCTTCCCCAGGTCCATCTGCCACATTAGCTCATCACCTGCCAGTCAGGTCCCCTCTGTCTTGACTAAAAGTTGTTCAAAGTTGACAGTTTCCGAACGTGCAACTTCCATCCTCCTGAGCAACTGCATGCCCTGGTGACTTTTTACCCAGGCTGCGGCCGTCTTGGTCTGCTGCGGCCCTCTGTGCACCTGACTAGATCCTCAGCTCAGCAGGCAGGCAGGGCTCAGGCTACTGACTTACATGGTGCCCACACAGCAGACAGCATGAGCAGGAAGATGCTTCGTAAGTGCCGTTGGCAAGAGAATGGCCAAATGAAAGCAGAAGGACCTCTGATTCTGCTCTGGCTACCTCCATGAGCTCATCCACGTAAATCACAGTCACTCAGGGGCCAGTCCAGTCAATCTTCCAGGCAGAGTTCATCCCACAGGTCCTGTGCTCCCGTCTCCAGGAACGATTGCACACACGGCCCCGTGGGATTCTCAGGGTGAGAAACGCTGGCGTGGGCAGGGGAGGCCTGTCCCTTGGCTGACCCGGGCTCAAAGACACGGTGAGAGAAAGACAAACTCTGAATTCAATCCCTTTTCCACACAGTCAGCTCCAAAGCTCTGACTTGAATGAACAGCGTGTTATTAACCAGTAGAACTTTTCAAAAAGAAGAGACATAAAATTTAAGAACACTTCCATCAATGAACTCCAGAGCCACACAGGAGTGATTTTAAAGTAAATCACTTTGGTTGCGTTATCTGATGACCCGCCTGGGTGTGGTGCCCCAGCGCCCCTCAGTGAGCCTGTATGGAGTCTGGACAGTGATGACAGCTGGGACGTGTGCAGAGGAGACAAGAGCAGAGTGTGCCTTAAAAGTCGTGCCAGCAGTCCCTGGGCTGCTCGGCCCACCCTAACCCCACTGGTTATATATTCTACATCCTCTGGTCTTGACACCAGTATGAAAGGTATGTTGGTTCTAAGGTTAACAAAATGGGTAGAATCCCCACATACTAATGTGACATTAGCATCACCGTCCCTACTGCGCTGACCCCCCTTTAAAACAGACACTCCTTTCTGCAAAGCACAAAGAAGTCACCATTATTAGCACTAGTTATGCAAACATGTCGCTGAGCTGAGCAGAAGACGGGTCTGAATTTATTCCATCTGCTGGCAGACCTCAATTCACTGTTGGGTCCCCGTGATACAATTCAGCTTGACTATCTGAAATTCTTACTAGTGTGTTCAGGATACCTGGTGTTTCTGAGAGAGATGCCAAGAACTCTTCCACTCTGGGGCAAGTCTGGTTTCCAACCAAGACAGAGGTAAGAAATGAAAGCCAGAAGGGGCCTCCCATGTTCTCGCCAGTCTGTGCAGACTGTGTGAACAGGAGCCGAGGGGTGGACAGGTAAAGACAGCTACACTTTATCTTCCCTGTGTCGTCAGACTGGACGTCTGTACAAAGACTCGTCTGTGGAGGCAATGAACCACAGTTCTGGAACCTGAGGGTCATGTAAGGAAGCCTAGCTTAGCTGTTTCGGGGGCTGTCAAACATAACTCAGACTTTGAGTGGCCAGAGCCCCACATCCTGTCCATTTATCTGTGGTTTATTTAAAAGCATGAGTGAGCTGACCTAGTGAGAAAGGATTCAGAGTGGAGATCTGTTCGCTCACTCTGATCTGCGCTCCACCTGGGTACCAGAAGCAAGCAGCCCTTGTTACCAACTTCCTCTCGCTAACTGGAAAGCTGGGTTAGTGCTGACCCCAGGAGAAAACCGCGGGCCAGATGACACCCTCCGTGAGACCCAAAGGACTGAGGCGGATTGAACGGTCCTTCAGCAGAGTCGTGTACAAGAAAAACCAAAACGCAGAGCAACCCTTTGTCGCCTCAGGGCCTTACAGTTCTTCTCATTTCTTGATTTGTTACTGAAAGGCTGAACACAGCCCCGTGTCCAGATCTCGAACGCAGCACGGACCCCTTGAGACTGGAATGATGGGGAAGGTGTGAGCGACAATTTGGTGGTCCCAGGCATCTTGGGAGCTTTTGCTGACGTAAGACTTCTCATTCAACCTCAACTATGAGCAAGTCACCAGCAAAGTGCCAGGGCGAGGTAGGGCCTCTTGAAGGCCTCATTCGGCGGGACTGGCCTGGAGGACCACGTGCTGGAACAGGGAGCTGTGGAGCTCCATTAGGAAACAGCAGATGCAATGAAGAAAGTAACCCTAAACCTCAATGTGTACTTTGAGTGACAGAGAGGTTATAAGCTGTGACCACCTCCATTTTGGGAGGTGATTTTTTTCTTTCTTTCTTTCTTTCTAAAACAAAGTGAAACCTTCAACACATTCTTCCACTGAAAAAGCCAGCGCTGTACCTCACAGACACAAAGGTGAAGGCCCCGGGAGCTGTAGCACCAGAAGTAGAAAGGAATCGCAGAGGATGGCTTCGCTTGCGACGGCCAGGCTCCACAATCTACCTTTTGGTGTCTCCCCAGTAGCTCTGAAACCCCCAAACCATCTTAGTACTCTTGTTAATATCACTATTAAAATAAGTTCCTAGGGAGGAAAAGGAAATCAAGCTATTAATAAAATGTCTTCAAACCTCTTTTCTCAGAAAACCAAGCAGCGGGGTCATGGTACAAACCAGTCTGAATCAGAGCGGCGGCGGAAATGCTGGCTCGGCCGCCCTCGACCACCTACACAGGTTCACCTTTCCACTAAAAGGGAAACTCCTTAGCCAGTTCGGGCGGCAGGTGCGCAGTTCGCCTTGCGTGATGTGCTGCTCGCTGGCTTTGGTCGGAAGGACGGCAATTTTGACTCAACCCAGCAAAACTGCCAACTTATCCAAAGCTCTCGGGAGCCTCTGGCAACCCGGCCTCCTGCACAGCAGCACCGTGCTCCCTCCTACGGCCGCCTGGGGGCTCCTCGCTCGGCCCGACCGCGCCGCTCACTCCCTGCGCGTCTTGCTTCCACGGGAAGCAGATACTTGGCGACTGCGCGCCCCCGCGGCCCATCAGCTGTGGAAGTTCTGCACTGGGGTCTGTTTCTGCGAGAGCCGGAGCAGCTCCTCGCGGATCGCTTTGATGAGCGAAGCCGAGGAGTGGCCGGGCTGGAGGTCTTCCGTGGAGCTGGTGGGGTAGGCCAGCCCCGAGCCCTGCAGCCCCCTGCGTGGGGCGTTCCCCGGGGGTGCGGAGGGCTCCCTGCCGGAAGTCCTTGGTACCTGGAACAGCGGCGACGAGGAAAATTCCTGCTGTCCGAGCACGTGTGTCTGGAAAATACAGCAGACGAGTTAGGGTGCTTCCTGGGAGCGCAGGCGGGGAAAGGAAATTGAGGGGGGCAGTGGATGAGCGCCGGGGTGACCCCCGCCAACAAGCCAGCCCCACGGGGCCTTCTAGACGCACACTGGAGAGAAGTGTGTGGAGAGACTGTTTAAGGGACGAGAGTGCAATAAAGAGCCCTGAGCCAGAATGAGCGAGCAGCCGAGCCCCTTGACAAAGGGGGGTGGGGGGGCAGGGAAGGGAATGGAGAGCTGGAAGGGTGCAGAAAGGGGACAGGGGAGAGCTGGAAGAGCAGCAGAGAGATCGTGCTGCCCTCGCCGGGATGGGGCTGGAGCAGGGGCAGGACAAGCAGGCCAGCGACAGCATCCTGAGCTTCATTCTCAAATTTGCGAGGGTGTCAGGGCACCGCGCAGCCAACACCATCTGTACCCTAAACGACGTGACGGTGGTGAATTTTCGGAGCCTTTTACAATTAAAACAAAAACAAAACAACCAATGTCAAAAGGAACTTTTATTCAGGTGTCTGTCCCAATTTCCTGTACTGAACGCTGCTTTGATTAATTTTTGAAAAGGTTATTCTTGTGAACTCACTCCTTCCAGCCTGAGATCTACCTCTGGAGTGGGCACTTTCCAGACTCTCCCCACGCAGGAGAGCGAGCACGCTGACACACTCCAGGGGGCAACAGCCACAGTCACAACTGTGATGGATGTGGGTGTTAAAAGCTGCCCCCCCTCCAGAAGCAGCTGAAGGCAGCCATCACCCCTGAGTGCCCTGGGATGGCCACACACAGGATACTCACCGTGTCTCTCCGGCCTGCCTCCTCCTCCCCATAGGGGGGCCAGCCTGGCCCACCGTACTGGCCGCCTCTGCCTGCTGGGATCTCCACAGGCTGAGCTCCAACTCGGCTGGCGATGCCCACCTGCGTCAGGTGCTGGATCTGGGTCCCTGGGGGCACAGTGGGCGGCCAGTCAGCCCTTAGAGGACGGCAGGGCTGACCACCACATTTACAGACAGGCATTTTTCAAACAGGACACCAGTTCTTTCTTTTCTTTACTTTTTTTTTTTAAAGATTTATTTTTTTATGCATAGAGAACTGGGGTATAGATTAGAGGTGAAGGGGCTGTGAAATGATTCACCAGAGACAGAGTGGGGAGCAGAAGAGGCAGAATGACTCAAACACACTGCTGAGGGGAGCAGCAGGAGAGGTCTGCTGTGCCATGTGGGTCAGCTCCCTGGCTGGGGATCAAACCTGTGCTCCAGTGGCTTTGCAAAGCTTCCTATTGCTTTGTCTTAATCCCCTGCACCCCCCAGGGATCCTTCCACACAGAAAGACCTTCCCTACAAAAACAGGCGGGGGCTTCTCGGCCAGGGTCTTTTACCTCCTTTAATACAGGGGCTGATTTGGATGACCATATTTTCCTGGCCAGACATCAGAGGACAAGAAGGAAACAGTACATACAAACAGGGTCCTTCCAGTCATTTCTCTAGCGATTACGACCAATCATGTTCTTATTATTCAGAAGACAAGAGGAAGGTGGCTTTGGACACGATACATAGGAAGCTGGCTCCTTCTTGCTCCTGGCTTTGAGATTCACCATCTGCTTTCTTAACAGCACGCAAGTTTGAAATCAGAATGTTAAAGTGCATTTTCATTATACTCATAGTTTCTATAAATTAGTCATATCACAGATGAAGTTACTGCCGCCACTGACCTAGCCTCCTCAGGGAGGTATTCCCCTGGCACTCAGACTTGCTCCCACACTTACACATGCAGCAGCCTCCTATGGTTATATACCAGACTTTTAACAACATGTTTTTCTCCCCTGTCAACTTCTGGCAGGCAGCTCTAGCCCTATTGGGTTGCAAATGAAGAGGAAAGAGAATGTGATCTTCACGCACCACGACATTAGATCCCTGGCTCCCAGGGTCATCAGATTTGCCTGTGAAGCTCAGCCGGGTCCCACCGGGTGCAGAGATCTCACAGAGGGGTGGGAGGCCACCCTCCCCCTTGGGTCCACGCCTACTCCAGCTCTGATTACCAACTTCCTGAACCAAACACATTTTTGTAAAAAGAAACTGCTCCAAGTAAGGGGGGTAGGAATAAAGAGAAACAAATGTAACTGAGTAAAAATGAAACAATGAACAGCTATAAACAGAGACATTTAATGGGGGTGGAAAGGGAAATGGGATCAGAACTGGGGTGGGAAGAGGGATGGGCCTGTGGTGATGGCACATGGTGAAGTGGTGGTGGGCAGCCCACAGGGATTACAACTGAGATGGAAAATGCACAAAATGAAGAATGATGTAAAAAAGAAAAGAAACTGCTCAAGGCTTTATGCACACAGTGACAATTAAGCACTAAGTCAGAAAAGACCATCCAGACTTCAGTCGGGCTGTTCACCAAGAGCCGCAAGGGCGTGAAGCTGTTAGGGCGAAGCTGCAGGCCGAGGCACTGTCCTCGGGCAGTGCTGCCAGGGCCAAAGCCCAGGGACCTCCATCACCTATAGACACACAGGACCTGCAGCCAAGAAAAGCGGGAACACTGGGAGGCACTGACACTGGCCCGCAGGGGCTGGGCGTGGCCTCGTGCCCCCGGATCCTCGTGGCAAGCTGCTCATGAGGGGGTTTGGGGGGGGGGGGTTGTTTCAAAACCCACATCGCGATGTCAGTTCCAAGACTTCAGAGAGAAAAATGGGACAAATCCCAAAGACACAGGAGGCGAAAAGGGAAGGGAGATTCCTTTCTTTCCAGCTTTGTCTTCAATAGCTGCACGACGCAGTTACCGATGCCTTCCGCTAGGGGGCGCACCCCTGTCTATGGTGAACGCTGCGCCACTAAACCTGTCGCTCCTCCCCAGTATTTTAAATTTTCTGAGAGGGGGAGCCCAGAAGCCCAGAAGTGAAATTGTGAACTCACAAAGGCTTTATTAAATAGTGACTGTTACAATTTTTAAAATTAGCGAAGCCATTAGGGCTTAATTCCAAACTGCTTTCCATCTCCACTGGAAGTCATTGGACAATGGCGCCTGGGATTAGCGGGCACTTAGGCGGGCATCCTGGAGGGCACTTTGCATTTGTATCCTCTTTAATCATCAAAACAACCACAGGAGCTAAGTGCTAATATCCCCACTTACAGATGAGGTTAACTGGAGGCTGATTTTATTTGAATTCCAACAGATAATTAAGGGAATACCTAAATGTTAAGTGGAGAAAAATCATGCCAAAGACTTTAAAGAGTTAAAGAGAAGCCCACTTCGGAATTGTTACCTTTCCTTGCTGAATTCTCAAGGTAAAGAGTGGCAATAGTCACCTATGAAGGACGGTAAGATTTGTTTAACAAGGGCCTGGGATGGCCATCCCAAGAAGGGTAGAAAGGAGCCAGAACAAGTCCACGTGGCCACAGACTCCCCCATTGGTGACTCTGCCCACGTGAGGACACAGGTGAACCCAGGCAGAGTTACTACAATTGAGATGAAAAAAATATATATATACAAAATGATGTAAAAATAAACTGTTATAAAAAAATAAAAATTTCATAATGAAAAAAAATGATATTATGAAAGGTAGAGGCAAAAAAAAAAAAAAAAGGAGGTGAAGCACTGAACAAAATAGTGATTGTATCCTTTCAAGAAAGGCCCGTAAGAAAAATCTTCTTCTAGGCACCATCTAGCAATTTTCAGAGTTGCTTATTACAAAGTGGAAAAGTGCCTTTAAAAAATATTTTTTCTTTCAGCCCTCTGTGGTGGCACAGCGGGTTAAAGCACAGCACTGAGAAGCTAAAGCCGCTTCCGCATGAGTTCGATTCCCGCCTGCCCCGGAGGTGACCACATGGCGCGGCAGACCTCTCCTGGCCCGCCCGCTGCTCCCCTCAGCAGTGGACTTCGTCGATCTGCCTGTTCTGCTCCCCACTCTGTCTCTTGAATCCTCTCACCGCCCTTGTACCTCTGTCCTGTACCCTAGTTCTGTTTGCATAAATAAATAAATCTTTTTTTTAAAAAAGATGTAGCTTTAAAATTTTCTTTTTCTTTACAAGGAAGACCTACTGAGAACTCAGAAGCAGATCATTTCAGTTTACAGTAAGAATCCAGAAACGTTTCCCCGGAGTGGTGTCCTGTGAATTCCATACACAGGCTTTGCTTTTCGGACACTGATCCAGGCGCAAGCGGCCAGACGACGGTCTTGGGATCCCAGCAGCTGTCTATCTTCCCACCTGCCCTCACTGCCAGCTCCACCAGGAGCCCCGGACACACAGCTCTTAATGCGAAAGAGGCTGGCGGACACCCAGATGCTGACACCCTGGGACGCCGACAACAAGCCCTGCCAGGATTTAGCCTCCGGGCAAGCTGAGCTGCCACTGTACCTGTGGTGCCCCCGACGGGCCGAGGCCGGGCCACAGGCGGCATCTCCTCAGAGTAGATCCCCCGGGCAGCGTACGGGGCTTCGGCGGGTGCCTGTGGCTGCTCGCTGGGCACCAGCTCCGAAGACTGCAGCAAGCCGGGGCCAAAACCTGGTCTGAAGGCAAAGCACAGTCAGTCGTCAGGGTGACCCCCCCCCCCCCCCCGGCCCTGCAGAATGCACAATGCACGGCTGTAGGTCTCCTGCGCCCCTGTCCATCTCCGCTCCTGGAGCGCGGGCTCCCCGGAGCTGGGGCTGCTCGCGTTTGAGCCCTAAGGATGGTGTCTGCGAAGTAGCCGACGCTCGGCAGGTCTGTGGGGTGACTGAGGAGAGCTTCCGGTCGCAGACGGACAGGTAGTTTCACCTCTAGTCTCTGTCTCTGACTGCAGTGACGGTTCCCAACCTCGGCTGCACATTAGTAGCATTGGAGTTTCTCAAAACCCCAATATCCGCACTGCACCCCTCCAATGAAAACAACCTCTAGAGCGGGACCCCATGTTGACATTTTTCAAAGCCCCTTTGAATATCTTTAGTTGGGTTCATGCTGATAATAACGTTTTTATTGCTATGTTAAGTGACATCTTTGACTCTTAAATCTCCTGTCTATTGACCATCAACAGAAACAAAACACCTCATAGTTTAGCTATCTTGCTAAGTTCCTTTCTTTCATTCTCACAAGTTATGTGTTGACATATTAGGATTTTCCTTTTTTCTTTTTGGTTTCAGCGCTGACAGATTAGTGAAATACTTAAATATGGTTGTAGTATCACAGGTATATGCCCAAGCTCACCAATTATAGACATTAAACATGTGTAGAAGTTTTTTTTTTTTTTTTTTTTTTTTGCACATAGCTGGATTTTGGTTTGGATTTAGGGAAACAGGGTCACAATCCTCAGATGTGTGGCACCACCCCACCCCACCCCACCCACGTACCCGCAGGCCTTTCCCCACGTGTCTCCCTACCTCCCACACCCCCTTCTACAGTCACGTTTCCAGGGCTTGTTTCAGTTTAGTTTTAGTTTTGCTACTACAGAATTATATCACTTGCAAATAATTACAGCATTATTTCCTACACTGGTTTCCTCAGCCTTCCTGTTTCTTTCTCTTGCCTACTGCATCAGCTAAGAGCTCCGGGGCGTCGCTGAATGGAAGCAGTGCGAGCAGCTCTGATTTGCTCCTAGTCTCCGAAGCAAAGCTTTTACCGTTTCACCACCAAGTAATATTTGCTAAAAGACCTTTTATGTCACATCAGTTAAGTTTGCCTGTATTCTTTGCTCGGCTTTTTACCATGAACGAATGCTGAATTTTATTAAATGCTCTATATTACATTCTCCCCAGAGCCACAGCAGTGACTGATTTTTACATGTTTAAATGTAAACAAAAGTGGAATAAATCCAATTTGGCTGTGTGTGGTCCCTTTTGGCATATGTGCTAATATTTGTCAATTTTTCCTTCTTTTCTTGTCTTGGTATCAAAGCTATGCTGTCTCCTGAGACTGTAAACACTTAGTGTGTGTGGAGGAATCCACACACTGTTTGTAAGAATCCATGTGACATCAGAACCTTTGCTTCCCTCAGTGTTTGCTGAGAGTGACTGTTGAAGTCACCTGGGTCTGGAGTTTTCTTTGTGGGAAGAGTTTTATGGTGATCTGCAGGAGTTGTGTGCCTCACCTTGGCAATGGACCTGAAGGGGGAGTCATCCCAAAGTCTTCATATCTCTGGAAGGAATTCAAAAGAAGATGAAGATTAACGTTTAATGCTTATTATAAAACGACAACAACAAATTTATAAATTTGGCGTGTAAGATCCATTTTCAGAAGAACTGTTTCCTCATGAAAAGTTAGCATGCTGGGCCCTCCCTGGTGGTGGAACCAGTTAAAGCACAGCATGATGAAGTTGTCCCAGCACTGCAGCAAGAGCTCGATCCCCAGCGAGGGAGCTGACCCACAGGGCACAGCAGACCTCTCCTGTCTCACCCTCTGCTCCCCTCAGCAGTGTTATTTTAACAGATCTGCCTGTTCTGCTCTCCACTCTGTCTCTGGTGAATTCTCTCACCACCCCACACACCTCTGGTCTGTACCCCAGTACTTATATGCATAAATCAATCAATCTTAAAAACAAGAAAAGAAGGCCCTCCCTGGTGGCGCAGCGGGTTAAAGCACAGCACTGAGAATCTAAAGCCACTTCCTCATGAGTTCAATTCCCGCCTGCCCCGGAGGCGACCACATGGCGTGGCAGACCTCTCCTGACCCGCCCGCTGCTCCCCTCAGCAGTGTACTTTGTCGATCTGCCTGTTCTGCTCCCCGCTCTGTCTCTGGTGAATTCTCTCACCCTCCGCATCTCTGGCCTGTACCCCAGTTCTGTACAAATAAATAAATAAATCTTTAAAAAAAAAAAAAAAAAAAAAAACCAAGAAAAGAAGAGTCAGCATGCCATTGAGGCATCCTGCCATCAAGTTAGGCCAGAAGGTTAGTTCAGAGAACTGGTCTACCAGACTTTTAACAATACATAGTTACTGTCCAGACCTTTCTTTTGTAAAAATATGAATGACAGGCAAGTTTTCTAGACATGCTCCTCCCTACTGGCTCCTTTTCTTTTTTCTTAAGAGATTTATTTTATTTGTTTGTGCATACAAGAGCTGGTGGGTAGCCCAGAGGAGCAGGAGTGAGAGGACTCACCACAGACAGAATAGGGAGCAGACAGACAGATCAACTGCTGAGGGGAGCAGCAGGGAGATAGGAGAGGTCTGCTGTGACCTGTGGGTCAGCTCCCTGGCTGGGGATCGAATTTGTGCAGCAGTGGCTGCGGACAGCTTCATGGTACTGACATTTACCCCCTGTACCACAGGGAGGGCCCCAGCTTCTCTTCTACAAACCTGTGTCTTCTGCCAAAATGGCAGCCTCAGAGCCAGTGAAGCATCGAGAAGGCCCCAGGGCCACCAGAACAGCCACTCAATGCATTCAGGCTATCCTGGCCGGTGCTGAGCATTGTTACAGAATGCTGTAGAAAGAATACAAAGAGAACCAGACAGGAGAGGGAGACGTGGCGATGAAGTGAGTGCCTCCAGCCCTGACCATGTTCTGGTCCCAAGGACACCCAGCCCGTCTGCCCTGAAGTGCCACCAAATATACCTACACCTCTCAGACAACTCTTCAGCTCGGGTGACTCTGAGCCAGCCAGGGGCCCGCTGACTAAAACAGGCTGGCACCAGACTTGAGGAAACCTTATCTGTGCTGCCCGCCTCATGAAACCGACATATCCTTAACCCTAAGGTGATGACCTGCTAGGCCCCCATTTCTTTCCCACAGCTGAGCGACCCGATGCCGGAAGCAGCTATGTTAGCAGGAGAATGCCCATGGTTTTTCTTCCTGTTTGGGAGAAGAAAGTACCTCGGAAAGAATTTAATTTCCTCCTAATTTGAAAGACCACGCTTTCGACCACAGTGCTGCACTGCCCAAGTTCCCCAAACTAGACTCTCCCCTCAAATACACCTCTGCTTTGCAGGCGGCGGGGGGACTCCAGAGTCGGGCAGTCAGTCCGAGGCCCTCGGCATCCCCGGGTCTGTTTCCTTACTCAAGAAGGATCTAGGCCTCTCCTTTCCCACAGAGTTCAGAAGGGATCAGGCATTACTGAGTTCAGATTACTTCACCTCCTGACCCTCTATGCTTCCATCACTTTGGCAGTGGCAGAAAGGTGAGAACCTTGCAGAGTTCCCCAATGAAGGTAAAGTAAGCCAAAGGGGCTTAGGGAAGAAGGGAGGAAGAGAAGTCCAGGCAGCTTCCATTCTTGCCCCCAAGTAATTAAAAGGAAATATGAGGTGGACAGAGACTGTTCACAGCGATCCGTGTGTGCTCAGAGCAAGTGCGGAGCTTTGGATATTTGCATGGTGCAAGTGAAAAGAGGTCAAGGCTTCAGTTGACCTATCAGGATTTCGGGAGGTCAATAAGTGATCAATTTAAAGGAAAACAGTAAAAATACTTGCCACGCAATCGACTTTACTATTGTAGGCTCGACATTTCTATCCTATTGCAATCAGAGAAAGGACATTATTTTCTAAAGATCTCATGCTGCAGTGTAAAGGTTTTTTAAAAAATTGCACAGGGCCTCCCTGGTGGCGCAGCGGGTTAAAGAACAGCACTGAGAATCTGAAGCCACTTCCGCATGAGTTTGATTCCCGCCTGCCCCGGAGGTGACCACATGGCGCGGCAGACCTCTCCTGACCTGCCCGCTGCTCCCCTCAGCAGTGTACTTCGTCCATCTGCCTGTTCTGTTCCCGGCTCTGTCTCTGGTGAAGCCTCTCACACCCCCTGAGCCTCTGGCATGTACCCCAGTTCTGTATGCACAAATAAATAAATCTAAAAAAAAAAAAAGTGCAGAGAGGTGGCTGGCATTAACTTTCAATGGGCCATACCTATAATAAAGCTTGAGTAATAAAATCGAACTTTACCCTTTCAGTCAGCTGTGTCAATAAAAACCTCACCCGAACGCACCCTTCTTTCTATTGGTAAAAACAGGCCACCAGGACAAGAGACGGAAGTCACATAGTTGGTGGAGTCTGCGGTGGTCCTACGGTAAAGCGGCCACACCTGGGCCCGCCTGTAAAACGTCTCCTCAGTTGTCCCCACCTGCCACTCGGGGGACTGCTCCAGAGAGGCTGCCTTCATGCAGGGAAGCAGAAACACCACCCAGCAAGTGGCCGGGACCATCAGCGCCTAACTGACAGCCTTATACAGGCTAAAAAAGTGGGTCTAGAGAGCACAATGCCATCCGTGGGTAAATAAAGGTTCATGAGTCACTGCAGGCACGTTGGAGTCCACATTCCTGTGGTTTTTACTACAGCCAGAAGAAGCAAAGAAAGGGTGCTCAGGCTTCTCCTGGCAACAAACAATAACTTTAGAACCAATTTATAAACATGCTGAGAAGCATACTGACTATGTATGGGTAGCCAGTGGTGCTGATTTTCCACTAGGTTAAACTATTCCTACTGCTACTGTTCTCATCTATATACATCAAAGGTCCACAATGGGAAGGTCACTGGAAACAGTATTTATAAAAATCTCTTTATGGGTTGAGTTCTTGATTAACATGGTAGATTAAAATCATCATTAAGAAGTTGTTGACTGGGCCCTTCTGGGTGATGCAACAGATTAAATCATGGCACTATGACACTATCCACAGCCACTGCGGCACCAATTCCATCCCTGGCCAGGGAGCTGACCCACGTGGCGCAGCAGACCTCTCCTGTCTCCCCGCTACTCCCCTCAGCAGTGTATTTCAGTCAATCTGCCTGTTCTGCTCCCCACTCTGTCTCTAGTGAATTCTCTCACCCCCCTGCACCTCTGGCCTATATCCCAGTTCTTGTATGCATAAATAAATAAATCTTTAAAAAATACAGAAATTGTTTATTTCTATTACCATTGTACAAATAATTAAAATCTGTCAAATATTACTACTAAAATCTTTTAACATAAAACAGAGAGATATAGATTCACTATATGCTAAGAAAATTGGTGGCCCAGAGGGAACAGAAGATTCTGGCAGCATGATGTGGCTTCTACTTAGTAAGAAAAGCAATTTTTTCTAAGTTCAAAGATAAGATAGCAAAACAATCTCTGAATGAATTTAAATGGGAGATCACAGAACTGTGAAATTAATTTGAGGACCAAAACAAGGCCTTATGACTCTAAAAAATCAACTAGCAGGGAAAGGAACAGATATGATTGAAAATTAAATCAACGTCACAGAGAGAAAACCCACAAGCATGATAATGAACAAGAATTATAATGAATCAAGGTAGACAAAAAGGAGAGTAGCGAAAGCCATTAGCGATAGAGCAGATAGACGCGGAAAACCAAGTTAAGCCCACATAAAAATAATTGGAATCTTCAACTCCAAGAAAGAACATGGAGTAAGAAAACTATTTCAGAGCTAACATGAAAGTTTCCTGAAAAGAAATCAAAGAGCTGAATCTGAAATTGAACATGGACACTGATGACTCAGGAAGGGAAGATGAAAGACGGGTTGGGTCCCAGGAGTTATTTATGCTGCTAGCAGATCGCACCCCCTGTCAGGAAGCAGAGATAAGATGGCCACAGAGCAATTCAAGGAGCAGAGAGAAGCAGCAAACGTCGGATGAAGAGTGAGCAAGGTCAGGTCAGAGAGGGAGGAAGGCGGCCTCCATCTGGAAAACTTCAGGCTAAGCTGAGTCTCCCGATGGGTCATCCTCTTCTTCCAAAACCCTATTCCACACAGGGTGCGTCCCTGTGTGGCCTCCCAGCTCCTTGGCCTGTTCTACATCAGGCCCTGACACCCGACATCCAACAGAGGCAGGGAGGTAATTAGAATAGTCTAGGTGCGTGGGGACAGTGGCCCTATATAGAGCAATGCAGTAGGTAGCGAGAAGAATCGAGAAAGCACACTTAACTCACCCCAACCTCCTAGACGTCCTCTGTTCACGGCCATTTCACTGCACCCCCTAATCTGCACGTCCCCCACCAGTGGGCGCTTTAGCACATTTGCCTAGAAAAATCCCAGTCCTGGATGATTCCAATGGCCTGTTTTCTCCCTGACTATACCTGAGTACCCAAACTCTGATTTACTGGAGTACTTCATTCCACTTCAATTTTATGGCAGTCAATCTCAACAAGGGTCTCAATGCTGCTAGGTAAGTATTCCCATGTTCTCATCTGCTTTCTCTCCTTCTGCATGAGCACTTCAAACACTCACTCTCCCTCAACCCTCCTGCCTGGCTGCACTTCTTCCTCGCTCAGTAAACACAGTCCCTGAGTGGTTTTCTCAATAACAAACCTGTTTGTATCGGTACCAATCTCTTCCTTCCTACTATATTGGGAGAAATATATCCCTTTATTTCTTTTGGGGGGGGAAGGGATTTATTTATTTATGCAAACAAGAAGCAAGGTACAGGCCAGAGGTGTGGGAGGTGAGAAGGTTCACCAGAGACAGAGTGGGGAGCAGAACAGGCAGATCAATGAAGTACACGGTTGAGGGGAGCAGCGGGCGGGTCAGGAGAGGTCTGCTGCGCCCTGTGGGTCAGCTCCCTGGCGGGGATCAAACTCATGCTGCAGTGGCTGCCACAGCTTCATAGTGCTGTGCTCCAACCCGTTGTGCCACCAGGTAGGGCCCTATATCCTCTTATTTCTAAGAACTACTGCTTCCCTGTACTCTGGACTACTCTTCTGTGTTATCAAACGCTCAATCCATCAACAACTAACACCACAACGCCATGCTGATTCCTTCTCTCACCTTCAGTCGCTGCACTCAGGAGTGGGACTCACCAATCTCTCTCCCCAAGTTCATTCCAATAGCCCCCTCTCTGTCTCCCCGCCTCCAGTCTATCACCGAGACAGCGCATTCTCCACCCCAACAAGCTGCGACGTCTCTAGTCTGCTCAGCGTCTTCCAGTGTCTGGCTCTTGCCCTGCAGGAGGTCAAGGCGCCACACCTGTCAGCTCCCTGCCTTCCCTCGCCTGCTTCTTATGCCTTCACTTCCCACCAGGCATCAGTCAGCCAAAATGAATTCAGTTAAGAATGCACGTTAGGGAAGGAGGGAATTTGGCAGTTTGTTGAATTAAAATTGACATACAATGAGCTGCACACGCAGCTTATACTTTGATAAGTCTGGGCCTGTGTTTATAACCACAGATATCATTGCCAGTCACAGTGATGAACAGAACCAGCACCCCTCAGTTTCCTTTGCGCCTCTGTAACCCCTCCTCCCGGACCCCTTCCTAAGCTCACCCTAGGCAACCACCGACTTTTCCAGCACCACAGATGTGTCTGTGTTTTCCAGAATTGTATAAAATGGAGTCACTGTATGTACATGTATACGTGTAATGGTATATAAGAGAATCAGACACTGTGTGTACATGGAATCATACACCTCACATTCTTTTGGGGGCCATGGGGGCTCAGCTTTATTTCAACATAATTATTTTGAGACTGAGCCATGTTGCTGAGTGTATAAACTGTTCGTTCCTTTTTTTTATCACTACCATTCCACTGTGTGGATAAACAACCTATTACTAAGCACCACTGTGTGGATAAACAACCTATTACTAAGCTCTTATTTTGAAAATTCAAGTCTTCAGAGAGAAAAGTCATTTGTTAAAATTCCCTGGATTTACCACCCTTAAGATGGGTAAAACAAAAAACAAAAACAGAGGAACTCAATACAAATCCTCCTTGAAAAAGAAATTTAAATTGTGACCTATTCACGTCCTCCAAGCCAAGTCTTTCAAGTTCAGTCATTTCATCTAAAACTGGCATGATATTCAATGGGATTTCCGTGAGTTTTACTTCTCCTTACCTTGAAAAGACACATTTGAAATAACTAAACATGAAAAATTAAGGATAATGAAATCAGATGAGATGTGGAGATGTCCAGATGGAGACCTAAGGCATGACAGCAGCAGTCTTTGCCTGCTTGGGGCTGCCCCAGCCCCAGGGGGCCCCTCCTGTCCCAGGAGAGCAGGGAGAGGCTGGAGAGCGAGGCATATTCCGAGCTGTCCGTTTAACGGAGACATGATGAGAAAATGCTGTTACCTCCATGTCACCACATCATGAGGAACCCGAGACACTTGCCAACGTGCCCTCACCAACAGAGTAGCAGAGCTGCAGGAAAGGATTCTCTCAGCCCCGAGAACGAGCTCAGGAGCACAGAATGAAAACCACCCTCCACCGGACGTGAGTGCTCGTCAGACCCAAGCCGAGTGTCATGGCCCTTCTGAAAGGGAGGCCGCCCAGCGCCAGCACGCCACACCGCCCCCACGAGAGAATCCCGAGGGCCTGTACTTACGCCGCCGGCATTGCTGGCCGTCTGCACCGGGCTGTAGAAAGACCCCCACTGGGTGGCTCGCCTCTCCTCCCGGGACGGGGTGCTGTTCACGGGCAGGCCGGCCGGGCCCCCGGGGCCTGCGGCCGAGGCACTAGAGGGCTGGCTGCTGGGGGCCACGAGGGCGAACGCGTCGTCCAGGAGCGAGTGCATGGTCTGGCGCGCCTCCTCGATGGACGGCTGGGGCGGGATGTACTGGGGGGCCGGGAAGGGCAGGCCGGGGTACCGCCCCAGCTCGGCCGAGGACGGCGTCTGTGCATCAGCCGGGAGGTCAGGGTCGGACTGCGGGGGACCGAGGGGGAGAGGAGAGTCAGACACGAGTTTCTGCAGTGACCAGAAACCAAACGCTAGAGCATAAAAGGCATTGAACGATTTTCTCAGACACTGAAGACAGGTTTATGGTGAGACGCAGCGTGGTGTTTCTAGGAGGAAATGCTTCAGTCCAGACAGAGGAGGAAGGAAAATATATCGCATTATTGTTTTATGTGTTTTTTTTTATTTTTCATTTTTTTACATCATTCTTCATTTTGTGCCTTTTTCCATCTCAGTTGTCATCCCCTGGGCTTCCCGCCACCAGTTCACCGTGTGCCATCACCACAGACCCATGCACTCTTCCCACCCCAGTTCTGATCCCATTCCCCCTTCTGGGCCATAAGATGTCTCTGGTTTATAGTTATTCATTGTTTTCGTTTTTTACTCTGTTACATTTGTTTCTCTCTCTTTTCCCCCACCCTGATCCCTTACTCCTGCTATGAGTGAAGCCATCGGTATTTTTCCTTTTCTTTCTGGCTTATCTCACTAAGCATGATCCCTTCCAGCTCCATCCATGTTGTTGCAAAAGTTTATCTTTTTGATTGCTGAGTAATATTCCATTGTGTATACATACTTTTTTTTTAGATAACATAATAGTTTATTTTTCCATCATTTTGTGTCTTTTTCCATCTCAGTTGTACTCCCGTGGGCTTCCCATCACTAAATCACTCGTGTGCCATCACCATAGTCCTGTGCACTTCTCCATTTTGACCCCATTCCCCACTGCACCCCATAAAATGTCTCTGGTATATAGCTTTTCATTATTATTGTTATTTTCTTGCCTGGTCCATTATACCCCATTATACCAGATGAGTGAAACCATCCGGTATTTTTCCTTTTCTTTCTGGCTTATCTCACTAAACATGATTTTTTCCAGCTCCATCCATGTTGCTGCCAAAGGCATGTGTTTCCTTTTTTTGGCTGCTGAGTAATATTCCATTGTGTATATGTACCACAGCTTTTTAATCCAGTCATCCATTCTTGGGCATTTGGGCTGCTTCCATGTCTTTCCAATTGTGAATAAAACAGCAATAAACATGGGGTGCAGGTATCTTTTTGAATTAGTGTTTTTGTGTCTTTTGGGTCGATACCTAGGAGTGGGATTGCTGGGTCGTAGGGAAGCTCCATGTTTAGCAGTTTGAGGAACCTCCAGACAGTTTTCCATAGTGTACCACATCTGTTTAATCCAGTCATCCACTTTTGGGCATTTGGGCTGTTTCCACGTCTTTCCGATTGTAAACAGAGCAGCAAAAAACAAGGGAGTGTAGGCGTCTTTCTGAGAAAATCAGTGCTTTTGTGACCTTTGGGTAGACACCTAGGAGTGGGAGTGCCGCATAATTGTTTGTGCAGCAAAACTCCGTCGTCAACTGCCTAAATGGCATTTCACTACCGGGAAATGTGCATTTTTTTATTGAAAGCTCTAAGCAGCAACAAAAACAACCCTCAAAGTTTATATAGCAAAATGCCACATCCACTTTCCAGACATGAGACCCAAAACTGAAGCAGCCTGTGAACTCTAAACAGCGGCAGAGAAGGCCCCACGCCAGGATGCAACATCATACTACAACTGTGGCGTGGGGAGCAGTTACAGTAACAATTACAAGTGATGCGGCAGCAGATAGTAACCGCCATTTTCTCTGGAGCCACCTGTCTTTAAAGGGGGGCTCTCTGTGGCTGGCACGGACCCTCAAGAAAGATGTACACCCGTCCTATGCCCACTGCTTGAGAGTCAAGGGCAGAGCAACAAGGCTTTTCAGTCACTTCCTGCTGCAGACACACCTGCTCCCAGACACACCTGCTACAGTACTATGCCACCTCGCACCTGTCGGAAGCAAACCCCGCCAGGTGCACGCCGCCGCAGGATTGAGGCAGGGGGAGCCCCTGGGAGCAGAGGCCTCCGGACTCAGAGGCCCCCAAACATCACAGTCACAGCAGCTTACACCCCAAAAAAGAGACTCAGCCACAGGTCTGGGGAGCTGTCCCCCGGGAGGAAGCTGAGTCGGTTCACGTAGAGGGAGGCCTTGCTGGGAGTCCTGGCCCCCCCTGCGGGGTCACCCCACTCTGGGTGGCAGGAGAGCACTGTCCGGGCCAGATCAGCGTCTCACAGAGGAAGCGCCCGCTCCAGGGACACATCTTAGCTCAACCGTGCAAACTGCGGGAGCCCGTGCTGCAATCCCGGCCCCTCCAACGGGAGAGCGGCCGTGGCTCAGGCCAGCCCAGTGGCAGCCCACGACACGCTGCACTCCTGTGCCACACCACGTGGCCACAGCAACCTGCGCTCTGCTACGGGCTACGGTGCCAGGAAGCGGCACGTGCAATGCCCCAGGCCACCCACGCCGGGGCACGCCACGCCAGGCTGCCATCCGTGCCGCTTATGTGTGGCTACATGCTACTGCGTGCCGCGGTGCTGTGGCAGCCATGCATGCCACCGGGTGCCACGTGTGTTACCACGCGTGACGCACAGCCCACGCTGTTACGTGTGCACGCGCCACAACACACCACGCTTGCTGCACCATGCTGTGCACACAGACTGCTCACACCGCACACAGTACTGCGTGGTATACAGGCCACTACCTGTCCATCAGCCGGTTTCGCTGGGTCCTCACAGTCTTTAAAAAATTAATATTTTTTAAATCTGAAAATGTCATATCGAAATTCAGGGTTCCGGATTCCCTTGGCAGACCCCAAAGCGCTGGCCCCACAGGCCCGCATGGTCCCACACAAAGAGCCAGCTGGGCAGCGGCTGCCCCAAGATGGGGCGGGGGGGGATGTGGGGTGGCGGGAGGCAGTCTCCCCGGACCCCAGCTCCCGCTCCACAGCCTCAGGCTGGGCCCCTCTGCTTCCAAAGGTGCGCCCCGCAGCCACAGCTGTGACACGCATCCTGGAGGACTTCTCAGTGAGGGCTTGGGCCCCACAGCGTCTCTGACTCACACGCCAGCACTGGAAGGACCCCGAGCTCCTCTCCTCAGGAGTGGACTTTTAGGTACACACACACAGGCCCCTCTCCCTCGCTTGGCCCCCGGAGGAGGAGATCAGGAAGACTGCCCTGGGCACTGACCGGCTGTCACTGCCTGGGCATCTCCAAGCCGAATGCCTGAGGCCGGCGCCGAGCAGCACAAGAGCGCCCTCTGCTGTGGGAACTGCAGCGCGGCGCCTCCACTCAAATTCACCGCCAGCATCTGGGTCCCTCCAGAAGCGGGGAGCATCTCTCTGCAGCCCCCCAGCACTGCAGAATCACCCCAGCTCTCACCAGCAGGTGATGAGGTGCCATCGGTCTGTACCACACCAGAAACAGTAAATGCCCAAGGAAAAGGCCGGTTCCTACTCATCCCCCCTTTCAAGTCTATTCAGCCCCCAGCAGGACAGTGTGTGCTTGACCACGTCCAGCGTCAGACACCGGAACTTAGAGGGCAAATGCTGCGTTGACACGAGTCGGTCGGCCATGCATGTCCAGGCTGAGGTGACGGTCATCACACCCTTGTCCACAGGAGGGCCTCAGCCACCTCTCCTGAACAAGGACTGCTCTGTGGGTACATGTCCAGGAGGAGGAGGGTCCCGGGCAGCGAGACAGACAGCGTCCAGCGCTGGGCCCCTGGCGCCCGCGGCCTGTCCTGTGGAGGGGCTCCCTGTCTCGGGGTGTCTGTGATGGCATTTCACAGCCCCTCTGGGAGACTGGCCCTTTCTTCCCCTTTCAATGGGTCTGTGTGTGTCTATCAATGCCCGCCTTCAACATTTCAGCGTCTCTGTGCCTCTTTCAGTTGGAAAAAAAATGTTTTGTTCCCCGTTTCTTGATTTCCACTAAGCTCTTTTTCCCATGGAAGCAGAAAACAAATATATCAGCAAATGTAGAGTCTTCTTCGCGCTCAGGAGCAGGAGGGAGGGACAAAGCCCCAAATATCCCTCCTATTGCCAGAAACCCGGACTCTGACAGAAAAAAAAACTTAGGGACATTCCTCTGTGTTCCAGATAATTCAAGAAGTGCCCACGGGAAGGCCTGAAGGGCCGGGCTTGCATGTAGAAAGCAGACACACAGACTGTGCCCAGCCCACCCTGGTTCCACACTGGGTCTCCCCTCCAGGGGGGCAGGCCCGGCCCCTCCCCTCATGGCCCGGCCATCCAGCTGCTCCCTCATTCTCTAGCAACCACCCAAGACGACCCCGGAGGCGGGCGTGGTCAGCACGCACCGGACATCCGATGTAGGCGGAGTTGTGGACGCCGGGGGGTCTCTTGTAGGTGCCGTCGCTGTCGGTGGTGATGAGTCTGTCCTTCTCGGCATCGCCAGGGCAGCCGTTGACCTGGTGCTTCCGGCGCGGCTTCGGAGAACGTTTTATCCGTGAGCTGCCAGGAAAAGACGACATTATCTCCAAAGGAAATGAGGCTTCCTGGCCCTGGCTTTGCCGCCCAACACCACGCACGTCCTGCGCGCCCAGGCCGCGGTGACCACCCACGGGCGGAACAGGAGTCCAGCCACGTGTGCGGACTTCACGGACAACCGAGCGCAGTGTGCACTGGCGCTAACGACCCAGCGGCATTACGGAGCTCACCGGAGGCAGGAAATAATCCTGACCTTAGTGAGCTAATCTGACGTTCAGGAATGTCAGGGGCGAGGGCACCCCCTGGGTGAATTCATGGGGAGCAAGCCCCGGAGAATTCATGGGGAGGGGAGCGGACGGCGGCAGCAGGGTCGAGGAAGCCAGGAGACGAGGGCCTGGGCAGAAAGGCCGAATTCCAGGGGGCAGGTTAGATAAACCCAGGGACCCTGTTCTGGGGTCCCGGGATGGCGAGCAGAGTGAATGACGCAGCCTTGCACACGCAGGTGAGCGACTCCGCGGGCCCAAAGCCACCCCGGCAGCACTGCACCTCTGGACCCGGTCAGGGACTTGGCCGTAAACCCCCATCCCCACTGCCCCCACCAGCCCCCAGATGAGGGGCCGGGTCTCCACCTCTTCCTGGGCTCTATGAAGACGGAGGGCACGCTGGCCGTGGGGTCCAGGACCTTGTCGATCTGCAGCTGCGCCCTGCGGTAGACGCGGTGATGTTCGCGCGTGTCGCCCGAGGACAGGTCGTCCACCACTGGGAACTCGTAGTGTCCCCGGCGCTTGGCGCGGAGCCGGATCTTGTTGCGGTGGTGCTCGATCTCCGACTTGTGCCGCAGAGCTGTCTGAATCTGTCGGGTACGGGAGCGAGAAATGAGGCCAAGGACTGAGCGGGAAAGTTTCGGACACCTGGGTACGAAGTTATTTAGGGATGGACTTCACTCTGCAGCTCCTGCCCCTGGATGGCTGCCCTGGGCTCCCACCAGGCACAGAGGCAAGCACACCCACCTGCAGACTCTGCTTCCCAATGAGAGGTGCGAGTGTGGGGCACCCCACGACAGGGCAAAACCACTCCAACCTGGGAAACTGCCCATGGAGAACTTGGAGGATATATTTTTTTTTTTAATTACAAGGTTTATTTTTACATCATTTTGCACATTTTTTTCCCCATCTCGATTGTAATCCCCGCGGGTTTCCCATCACCAAATCACCCCTGTGCCACCACCATAGTCCCGTGCATTTCCCTCCCTCCCCC